TGTTAGAAATGTGCTCTAAGAGCCAATACATTTGATGTAATCTCCTTTGAATACATTTCGTATATGATATATAAAGGGCAAATTTATTTTGTTATCTTTTACATCGTGTAAAGAAACAAATGTCCAGTGTATGCTAAATAAGAGATAAAGTAATCTAAAGAAGATTAGATTCATGAGACCTTTAATCTCTAATTGTAGTATCCCAAAATGTTCCTAATCATAGGTTATCAAATGGGCATTGATAAACCGTCAAGATTAGCGCATATTATGTATGCTGAATTGGGAGGATGGTTAGTCTCAAACCATTTGTGTAGTTGACACTAATACAAGTTTGTGGGTGCTCATTAGTGAATGAGTACACTGAACGCGATCAACCGTAGTTCTCATATGGAGTATTTATCTACATGTCAAATGAGAACTTGTAGTTGCAATAATGCAAATTAGTCCTTAGACCTGAGGCATCATGGTTGTCCTGTGATGCGTTATTTATCTTTGATAGCTCTTAAAGGCAAGCCGTAAAAGGTTTGTCTTAAGTGTTGTTGGGATCTCTTAATTCATTATAGGGGCATGTGAATGTACAATAAGGAATCTCTACTTTTGATAAAGAAGGAGAATGTTTCAAGATGTGATTTAGTAAATCTTTGGCCAAAGTATTTTGAGCTTGATTTAGAAAGTTGTTCTTATTCATGTTCTTTTGAATCACATGAGGTTATAAATTATATTAGGGGTTTGACATAATCAATCCGTACCCTAATAATATGATTTGAAACATTGTATAAGAGAAGGATCGTATTGCATTGCAATTCCAACTGAATAGGTTCTTCATCTATTCTGGTTAGCTTGGGTAGCCTTGATATATTGCTAGATGTCACTCTTGGCTTGTGGAAGTCCTAGGATTGATTGTGATCGATCCAAATAAAGGAAGAATTAAAAAGGGGTTTTAATTCCAGTTGGTTAGAAAGAGTTCTAATATTTTCCCACTGCCTTGCTAATTAGAACCTAATGGATCGCACACCTTAAATGGTTAACTCTGAGTAATACGAATGAGAATGAGGAAATCAATTTGATTGATTTGATGTGGATGATTTACTACGTGTAAAAACGTATTTGGGCCTCGGTAATAGTTAAGGAAAGTCCAAATGGTTGGGTATCAAGCCCAAGGGCTTATGACAACTAAATATTATGGTTTAAGTGTCATAAGGCCCAATTTTGGAAGCCCAATGGGGTTTGGCCGAAAATGGTTAAGTGAATGTGTATGGGAATTGTTTCTATAAGCTCATTAACACACAAACACAATCCAAGATCAACCAAATAGGTTTGGGAGATCAAAGAGAGAAAAATGATAGTTTTCAAGAGTGAAACACTTTCATCTTTCAATGTGGTTTAGATTGAAACCAATCTTGAGAATCTTGCACTAGCATCCAAGTATTCTCAAGATACTTATTCTCATCTCAAGGTTCCATTGGTGTGGAGACTTAGAGGCCATATACTTTTGTGGCTCACATGGAGGAGAAAGATCAAGGAGCAAAGAGGAGATCAACAAAGAGGAAATCATCAAGAGAAGACCAAACACAAATTGGTTCATATAATTGCTTCAAGGGTAATTAGATCTTATCCTTTCTCTTGAATTTTCATTTATGAAAAACATATCAATGTTCATGGCTTAAGATACTTGGAAGAAGTTTTGTTTTTGGATTTAAACAACCACCTTAGACTTCCGCTGCGATTAATTTGATTAAATGCATGTTTAATATTCAAATGAACTTTGGAAAAATATTTTGAAATTTCCTACAATCGCCTCCCTCACTCAGGATCAGATGTCGGTTGCTACTTATTACACAAGACTTAAGGGACTATGGGATGAGTTGGCATCATACAGTGACGTGCCGACTTGTACCTATGGTGCCATGAAAGACCACGTTGAACGCGAATTATTTATTAAAATTAATTATAGTTTTTAAATAATATTCTATTTCAATTAAATAAAAAAGTGGCCCCTACATGCACCACATCAGCATTTAATGATTGACCACATGGTCAACTTAACGGAAGGATAAAATTGGACAAGTTTGAAAACATTATGGTGTAAATTGATGAAATTGATACTCCGGGGCCCATATTGAGAATGACCCCAAACCTAGAGGGTGTCTTTTTATGTTAGCCCAAAAAAAAAAACAAATATGACATAGTGATATGAAGCATAATAAGACAAGTCGAGGTTAGCAACCAAGGTGAAAAGGGAAATTTTTTGCTTTTTCCAATGGTGTTTAATAAATAGCCATTGAATTTTTTTTAGGGTTTTGGATGTTTTGGAATTATCGTAAAGTGGTAAGGGTATTTTTGGAAGGTAGTAAGGGTAAAAAGGAACGGGAATCGGATCAACTACTCCCCTTAATTTATCTAATTTCTAATTTTGAGGGGATGTGATTATGGATTTTGAGCTATGACCCACACATTATTAATTCCTGATTGCAAGTAAACGCACAAGAAGTTAGGTATGGGAATACCAATTACTAATACGTAAAAATGAGAGGTTTCTCCAACGTTCACTGGTTTGCAACTATAATCTGTATTTTTACATATAATCTTTTGTTTAGACAGCATTTTCCAATATTAAAGGAAAACAAAACTAGTTAAGTTCTACGTACATACTATAGTTTTTAAATGCATCACACATTTCTACATTTTTATATGGTTGTGAAGTTGTATACGGTTTTTTGCGTTCCAAAATGATACATTTTTCAATTTTTGTCAAAAATGGACAATTACGAAGTTGAAATTCATGGTGTGAAAAAGAAGGTTAGTGTTGTTGCTGATGTTGCCGTGATCGATCAAGAAATATCACAATTGAGAAAATTGATGCAGAGGAATGTTAAGGGGTTTGATATGAAGGTTGACAACAATGATCACCATGTTCCAATGTTGCAGCTTACCAATGCTTGTGCTGCAAATCTTCAAACTTGTTGCGTCTACCCAAGTGCAAGTAGTCACACGTAGTAATAATTTTGGAAGCCCAAGTATCGTATCTTTAAGGAGCAGGTAGGCAAATGTCTGCACACAAAGAAATAATTAAAAGTACCAAAATAGAAGTGACAAGTAAAATGGAAAAGTAATTTGATTTGATTGTTGTAGAGATTGAGTTTTAAAATGAAATATCAATAACGGAAATGTAAAGGCATCAAGGTTCAATTCTTTAAGCAAAATATGTTTCATGCTCTTTAGTCCAAATTATAACTCGATTAAAATTATCACTGAGAAACTTTAACCGGCATATAAAGAAATTAAAACCAATTTAATTTTTCAATGTTATCTTTTATTAATGATTGTTCAGAAAATGAAATTGATTAATATCTATTCTTTTAATTTAAAAGCATGCTAAGTCAGTTCTTAACAATAAGAAAAATATAATTAAACTCATGAAAAGATAGTAGCACTTAACATCAATCAAAATAAAAAGATTTGAAAATATTGAACAACCAAAAATAAAAGAATTTAGCAATTCATACCGTATATTGGATTAAAGAACAATTCACAAACTTACTCAAAGGACATTCCCTTTAACCTTAGCTAGAGTTCTAGCAACTCATTACAAAGGAAAACATAACTAAATTTTGAATGAAATGGATAAAGAAATCTGTCGTAGTGGTCCCCTTGCCAAATAAGTTGATGGGTGATTTATAGTAGTCAATGAGGTGAGTGGGAAGTGAATACATTCACGGTGGGTAATGAAGGGTTTAAGTGAGGGATTAATTCGATTAAACATGTGTTGATGGTGGAGAGTTAATGGAAAAGAAATAACGGTGAGGTAGTGGGCATTAAATAGCTACGAATGACATGAAATAGGCTCTTTAGCTTCAACGGTTTTATCTTCTTTTCTCCCTCTTTGTTTCTCTTTCTTTATAATCACAAAATCCCACAATCAATTCTTCTATAAAATCCGCCAGCAATTCTCTTCACACCTAGCTTGAACTTGGACAAATGTATGTCTTCATCTTTTGGCTTTCCAACTTTCTACAAAAGATAAATTCACCTAATAAGTTCATCAAATTAATACAAAAAATTCATAAATCTAGTTGGTGAGAATAAAATGTAATAACAAGTGAAATTATATTTATTAAGCCAAAATTATATCATAAAGTCTCCAAAATAATATTAAAAAGATGTAATTTGAGACTCTCATCAAAACTTTGTTCAATTCTTACGCCAAAGATTAAAAGTCATCTAGACTGTTTTGCAAAAAGAAGAAGACAAGGTTGAAAATGGTTTGCATCCATGTTTGGAGGAGTTGACAATAATCTCAATGTTTGTATTGAAGCATAATGTGCCAATTTTTTACATTCTTTTCTTTATATACAAGGAACTTGGATTGGTGTCAAAGTGGTGGTTAGTGTGATCGATAAAAAAAAAATCAGAATTGAGAAAATGCAATAAACCATCAAAGGACCAAGTCGAAGAGGCTTCCACTTCGAGTGGAGGTCGGCATTATTGTCCAGCTAAGGGGAAAGAAAAATTTATTTTACAGATATGCAGGGAAAAATAAGGTCTTTCTACAATGACAGTACAAACCAATGAACCAAATAATGGTAAGAGATCTAAACAAGTAGTCCGAATGGTTATTTCGATACTAAAACATAAACACTTATGGAATGGTATCAAAGAGTTGTCTTTGTTCACTTTTCCGGTCTTCCTTAAAGACAATTGCAGCCTTGGAAATCATCTTGGATTTCTCTAACTTCCTCTTGACTTCCTCCAAATTTTGAGGTGAACAAATTATGACAAATTTCGTCAATTTCTGAGCACACTCGAGTATATACCTTGCAAATTCAACTTCATTGAACTCATCTAAGAGCTCTGTGGTCAAGCTCTCCAATTGATTAATAAATGCAAGGTTGTGCAGTTTCCAGTATAAAAATCCATATCTCTGGAAAGACAGTAAATCAAAAACCGGATCAGTCATGAAGATTAATTCCAAAAGCAAACAAAAACGGAAAAAGATTAAAACTAAATATAATTAAAAGGTGAAGGAAGTTGAGGTTCCACCCCAACCAATTGGCAATTGGGGGAGTAGCCCAACTCCTTATAAGTCCTTTCAAGGTTTGTTAGTTTTGCAATGTGAGACATCTTTCACCTTCACATTCTCACAAAAGGCATGCATTATACTCAAATGCCTAGAGAATATTACCCGAATTCTAGAAATCATGAGAGAGAGAGAGAGAGAGAGCATTTTTTTGGGGGTTTTGTTAGAGGTTTGAGAGAGAAGCAATAATAACACAAACTTCAACTTACATATGATGTAGGGTCATGAAAACGTTGGCTACGCCTTATGTCTAAGTAATACAAGTTCGGCATCCTCCTAAAAAGGGAGACCATTGGAGGGACTACATCGTCACTTATGCTCCCAATATCTATACGCAAACGACGAACATTCTCGAATGAAACTGAAATGGACCCTTTCAGCTTGAACATAACCTGCAATGTTGTGTAGGCAAAATCTCTATCATGTTTCTCAATTTAAACTTCAGATAAATAATAATTAAAAATAAGTAAATTCTCTCAGGTTCTTTCTACTATACCTTAATGACAGATTCCTTTAGAGTGAGAGCGTAACTGCGAAAGACTTCACATAAAGGGTCAAAGTCATCTACTCCAGCTCTAGGCCCCAGAATTATTGAAGTATATTTGAAATTTAGAGTTTTTCCGATATAAACTGTGCCTACGGAATCAAATTCAACCTTAGCATATTCTAAACTTTGAAACTTTCCGAGATTTGGGTGACTCGTCAAATTCCCGACCCACCACAACGTTTTAAGATTTGGAGCAAAAATATTCAATGATGTGATGCTAGATGAATCCGTTCTCAAGGAGATACTTAACTTTTGAAGATTTTCACAAGAGATGTGATATGTGTCAAGACCATGACGGGGCTGATGAAGATTAAAAATCTCCAAAGACGAGCTTTCGATGTTAATATTTTTTAGCCCACGAGGATATGCAAGACGTAAAATCCGGATGCAAGAACATGAGATCCATTTGAAAAACCCCTCATCATCTTCTATAACAACATGCAACAACTCCAAGTATTTGAGATTAGAGAGAAACGACGAGGGTGTTTTAAGAATACCTTTCATGTGTACGCATAGAGACTTCAAAGATCCACAAAGAAAGAGAAAAGAAGGAAAAATCAGATTGGGTTCACCTATATGACGGAGAATAAGCTTAAGCTCTTCAAGGTTACACCTCACCGCCTTGTCTACCCACGAAATTACACGAACGTAGACATCAGGACAGACGCATGGTGAAGATGATGATGAGCTTTGGTTCTTCTGGTTTTTAGAGTGAGCACGCCATTCAAAATGTAAGCGCTGTATGTTATTATACCCACGAAGCAAAAAGAACCTTTCCAGAGAATTCAACAACCTTTGCTTCCTGCCACACGTGTCGGCAGCCACCACGCAGTCATCTTTACTGAAATTCAGAAACGGAGATGAAAGACAAAGTTCTCTGCAACATTTAGACACACAACTCAGTCGAGCAAGGTCATGCATGGAAAGGAACGAAAGAATGCGATGGGCAATGTGGTCAGGAAGATGGCTGAGTCTATCTATCAGTCTCCCTCTGCAAGGTCCTTCGCCTTCACATCTTGCAGTAGCCACTAACTTGTGCTTTTGACGTTCCATGAGAGGAAGAACCCTAATTTTGAGTCAATGAGTCTAAATTGATTATTTGATCACTCGGGAGAATGTAAGAAGGTTAATTGCCTTAAAGGATTGCAAAGACTTATTATTTATCAAGGACTCAAAACCTATCTTGATTAGGCAGCCTGCAGTGTTTAAGGTGGTTAATAAAAGGCTTAAGGGTTCCTAGTTCAATATAAGGATTGGAATACATTAATTCTATCGCATGAAGGATATCTCTAAGTGTTTCTTGATGGGCAAAACACTTAGAGAGATGCATATAAATAGAAGGCTCCCTCATAGATCCAATACACCTAAGCTAATCAGAAATTCACCCATCAGAGTTATAGCTATAAGGATCAGTTTCTAAGGAGAAGAATTTTCTATACCTCTGCGCAATTCAATCTGCTCCAGCACCATGTCAAACTCATGTTAGTGTTCAATATGTTATAGCTTACAAGAATTAACAGTTTAGACTATTTTTTTTTTAAAAAGATCAAATATATATTTATTTATATATTTGTATAAAAACGGAAGATTAAAGGGTCGCCCAACATAATAGCGTTTTGATCTGGAAGAAAGTTAAAGAATTAGAATTGATTAATTTTAGTTCGACAACCAAATCACTTCTTAATAGGCATCATTTGGTATAATTCCCCAAGACGAGAAGAAGAAGTCACTTTTTTCTTCCTTTTAAAAAATAACAATAAAATTTTCATTTTTTTATACTTCACAGATTTTTATTTTATTTTATAGTTTTCTCAAAAAAGAAAATAACTCATAATTCAATATTCAATAAGAATCCGAAATACGACATAAAGGCACAAACATTCTACACGATTGGAGCTCAAGAGTATTGCCGGTGAGGGGAATGCTAGCAACCTTCTCTCTAATCTTCTCCTTCGGACGAGAAATTATAGAATAGTACGGTATCACCACATCCGCTGGTAATACTTCCACTCAAATATTGCCATGTATTTTTTTAAAATATAAAATATAAGTGTTTTTTCAGATGGACATTGGGTCTCAATTTTACCCTTTAGAACAAAATTTTAAGAAGAAAAAAAGAGAAGACGACGATTGCCGCCAAGGTTTGCAGTAAGTCTACCCCTTTCTACTGCCCCTCCCATCTCTTCCTTCATCTAAGTTTCTCTCTCTCTTTTTCTCTGAATCAATTTATTTAATAGTTTGCTTTTATCATCACATTCCATGGGGCCCAACCTTATCTCTGCATATCAAGAATTTCTTGGGGCTTCTTAGTTAAGTTTTCTATACAGATCTTTCTAGATATGTTTTTCTCAGATCTTCTCAAAATTGGATAAAGAGCACTTGGATATGGAGGTTTTGAGAGGAAGAGGTGGAGGAGTGGGACTGCGAAGTGGATAAAGGTGGGAGGGTAGGGCACGATGGAGGGAGACTGTGAACTGGATAGAGGTGGCTGTGGCACAATCTTTTTAAAATCTTTTATTTTTATTCTGAAGGGTAAAAGTGAGACCTAATGTCTAGCTGGAAAAACATTTAAATTTTCTTTAAAAAAAATACACATGTCAATATTTGAGTGGAAGTATCACTAGCTGACGTGGTGATACCATACCATTCTATAATTTCTCCCTTTGGACCTTCTCTCTTCTCTTGACATGTGTCATTTGTTTCTTAATTAAAACAATGTTATTAATTACAAAAAATATATTAATTATATTTCCATATATGCCCTTAATAAAAACTAAACGTTTGTACAACACTCTCTCTCTCTCTCTCTCTCTCTCCTCTTCCTAGGGATGGCAAAAATCCCCACAGGGGCAGGTCCCCATCGGGTCCCCGACCCTAACGGGGGGAGATTTCGGGGCTAAATGGGTATCAGGTACGGGGATCCTCGAATCCGACCCGAAAATATATATTTTTATATTTAAATAAATATATATATAATTACAATATTTATGTTTAACCCTAAGTTAACCTCCCTCTCCTAATTCTTCCTAATCTTCTTTGGCATTTCATATTGAAGTGATTTTGAATAGTTGAGTTGAACTTTATAGTTAATTTGGATGTGTTGAATGGTAAATTAGTATGAAACTTAATGTTAAAATGTATAATAAATTTTTTTTTATGCAAAAAAAATCAGGGATTCGGGGCGGGTATGGGGGATAAAACCCCGACGAGGACGGGGATTCCCCGAAACCTATTAAATGGGGATGGGTTCGGGGACCGGGGCAGGGAGGGAGAGAAGGACGGGGGCGGGGATGGAGAGCGGGGACGGAGATGATATTGTCATACCCGGCCCCTACCCGACCCATTGCCATCCTTACCTCTTCCTCTCTCTTTCTTCTGCTCGCCCCTTCTTCCCCAGAAATTTGGCCCCGACCCTACCCCCTCCTCCACCCCTCCACTCTCACCCAACAGTCACAGAGCCCAATCATAACCCATTCTTGCTAAAAGGTTGAAACTTTGAAATTTGAAATTTGGATTTACCAAATTATATCTGGAATTTACCCAAATTTTGAAATTTAATGATATGGTTTGATAATTTGAGGTTGGGGCATACAAGCCATCCTATAATCATGATTCACTCTCAAATCTGATTTAATGCTTTGAGATGCAAGGATCTGGTGGGTTTTCGGTGGGTCTTCCAATAGGGAAGAGAGAGAGATGAGTGGAGGGACTGGGTGTGTTGAGAATTTTTTTTTTGGGGTGTCTGCGTTGGGGGTTACGGTGGGTGAGGATTGGGAAGAAGGTGGATGAGGGGGAGAGGGAGAAGATCAAGGAGAGAGATAAGATTAGTTTTTTGTTTTTGTTTTTTTTATAAATAAAAAAAATGGACTTGACCATGTCAAGTGTCAATATATTTAAGGTATAAGGGTAAACTTGAAAACAAAAGTTAGATTGTCTTATGTATTTACCACATTGGTTTAAGTGTAACAAAAATGACACATGAGGAAAAGAAAGAAAATTAGAGAAAATGTTGCTAGCATTCCCTTGTGGGTAAATAATGACGCGATAAAAATTAGGTGGCGTAGCTTTCAGTTTACGTTGGAAAATCATTTTTCTATTTTAACTTTTAAAAAAAATGAAATGAGAAAAGAAGCCGAAAGCCAAATACAAGTCCAACAAAAGCGAGTATAAAAACAGAGTAGCAGAACTTCGGAAAACAACCAACTCGTAGAAAGTTTGAAACGATGGTGAGCTCGAAGACTTTCTTCGCTTTCGGAGCCCTCGCTCTGCTCTTTGCCGCGTCGGTCTTCGCAGAAGACGTCGTTGTGCTCACGGAGGAAAACTTTGAGAACCACGTCGGTCAAGATCGGGCCGCTCTCGTCGAGTTCTACGCTCCCTGGTAATCTCCGACTTCATCATTTTCATCTGTTTGTTTGGTTCCTGAGATTTGATTCACAAAACGATGAAATTAGCTTCTGAGCTTTTGTATGATCTCTTTTTGTTGTTATTTTTGACCGAAATGAATGTAAATCAGTAGGAGCTTAGTTTAACAGAGTGTAGAAATCAAAATGATTTGAGTTTTCCGTTTTGGTTTATCGGATGCCAAATAGAAATTAGATACGTTGAAGTGATGTAAGCTATGGTGGATTTTGAGTTCGGTTGATTGGAGATCTGTGATAGGCGATCGATGATTCTAGATCTATACGTAAATGATGGATCGAGGCAAGCTTAAGTGCTCGATTGATTTTTCTTATATTTAAAATTTGAATTTTTGCTGATGGATCGAGGCAAGCTTAAGTGCTCGTCAAAAACCTTTAGGATTTTCTGACATTTTATTTGGTTCGAATAATGGATTAGTTCCAGTGCTTTTCAGAACTACGGAGGTTTCACTATGCAATTAGAAGATTATACGTTCAATTTATCATTGATTGTTTAGTGTGTTATATTATCTTTTAAAGCCCCTTTTGTTTAGTTTCTGATTTTAGTACCATTTTTCCTGGAAAACTTTGAAGAAGAAGAATACTGTTATGCTTAGAAAATAAACAACAACTATAAGTTTTCCTGCTATTTCTTTTTAAATGTGTTATTTTCATTTGTGTGATGCCTCCCTCTCCCATAAAAAAAAATGTCATTTGGTGGGAGTCGGTATAACATTCTTACTTCGATTGCAGGTGTGGCCATTGTAAAAAGCTTGCTCCAGAGTATGAGAAGCTTGGCTCAAGTTTTAAGAAAGCAAAATCCATTTTAATTGGAAAGGTCGGTTCCTCATTCCAGATATCCTTGTAAGAGTGTCTGATAATTATGTTATTACCTTACTATTGAATTTGTGTCTTAGCTGATTATTGTGATTACTAATTTTGCTGGGTTCTTTTTAAGGTGTTGTGAAAAATGATTCATCTTTTAGCTTTCGACTGGCTTTTGAATTTTGGAATTTTAAAATATTAAAGTGCTTTGTGGCAATACGCGATACTATTATGACTACTAGTGATTGATTAATATGTTAACAGTTTTACTCCATTTGATGGTTCTCAATAGGTGGACTGTGATGAGCACAAGGGCATTTGTGGCAAATATGGAGTTTCTGGGTATCCCACAATTCAATGGTTTCCGAAAGGATCCCTAGAACCCAAAAAGTGAGTGAGCTTCCCCCTATCCCCTGCTTAGTTTCATGAAAGCATTTAAGGAAGTTTTCATTGGGTACTCTTTCCACCAAACCCTCTAAAAGACTTCACACTTGGTTTAATATTTTTCATCATCCTTGTACGTCATAGTTGGTGTACATTTTATGATTGAATTTTACATGTTTAAGGTATGAAGGTGGCCGCACTGCAGAAGCTCTTGCTGAGTTTGTGAATAAGGAAGGAGGTATTAGTTTGTCCTTGTAATGATTTATGTAATAATCCTAAGCTTATGGTTGATCTTGAAGCTTTTCTTTGCATTCAGGGACCAACGTGAAGATTTCTGCAGCCCCCTCCAATGTTGTGGTCCTTACTCAGGATAATTTCAATGAGGTGGTCCTGGACGAAACAAAAGATGTGCTGGTGGAATTCTATGCACCATGGTAAGATTATTTCTCCATTTTTCCTTTCATATGCATAATAGTAAATGCTGTTCTGTGCCTAAGTCACTGAAGCTAAATTGGTGTAAAAGGCGGAAAAGGATACCAATTATCAGCCCCATGGTCCTTGTGATAAATTTTAGTGGAATTTAATTGGAATCGTTGCAACTCAAAATCTGTTTTCACCCCTTTTATTTTCGTGGCAGGTGTGGACATTGCAAATCCCTTGCTCCTGTGAGTGCGATTTTGCTCCTTAAAAATCTGTTATTGCAACCCTTTATCTGGTGCATGAACAACAGTTGACCTTGATTATTTATTATATGTTATATCCAGACTTACGAGAAGGTTGCAACAGCATTTAAGTTGGAGGAAGGTGTAGTGATTGCTAATCTTGATGCTGACAAATACAAGGATTTAGCTGAAAAGTAAGTAATATTTTTCTGCTAGGAGAGTTGGTATCTACTGAGTTTATATGTTGTTTTGTATTAGTATTTTGATGTAAAAATTACATTAAAAAATAACAATGAGATTTATAGATGATGAATATATGGACCTTATGCAAGGCTGCCTATGCAGGTACGGAGTAAGTGGATTTCCCACATTGAAATTTTTTCCAAAGAACAAGAAGGAGGGTGAAGAGTATGGTGGTGGCAGAGATTTAGAAGATTTTGTAGATTTCATTAATGAGAAATCTGGGACTAGTAGAGATGGGAAAGGCCAACTTACTTCCAAAGTCAGTAACATCGTTTCATCATGAGTTCACCTCATCAAAATCTTTTCCTTTTCTCATGGATAATCTTTTTTTCGTGTAGGCTGGTGTACTTGCAAATCTGAACGACTTAGTGAAGGAATTTGTGAAAGCTGGCGATGATGAGAAGAAGACAATCTTTTCCAAGATAGAAGAGGAAGTTGGGAAGCTTGAGGGTTCTGCTGCAAGGTTAATACAATCACTACCTAGTTTGATCAGTTGATATTTTCACATTACTTCAACGAATATTGAAATGTTACTATTTGATGGCTTACCATATTATATTTTTCAGTGGCTAGTAAGAGACTTAAGTCCTTTATATCCAAAGTAAACAGTTGACCTTCTGATTCACATGTTAACTTCTCTTTCTTTTCAAATTTCAGATATGGTAAGATCTACTTGAAAGCTGCCGAGAACTCTTTAAAGAAAGGTGCTGATTATGCGAAGAATGAGATTCAGCGGCTTGAACGCATACTCGAGAAGGTCTGGTCTCACACAGTATGCAATATTATCCATGTTGAACTAAGATACATATCCCTTGTTTGGCAAGCAGGATAGATTTGCATGATTTGAGTGAGACTTGGATTAGACTAGACTGGATATAAACCTTTGATAGAGCAAACTAATATATCTGTAGAGTTCCAAAACTTGAGTTGAAAAAACAAATAAAATTATATGCTGACTAATATAGCCATGATTGAGACCACTTCTAAGTGATGCATGTATGGGTTACTGATCTGCATGGGCCCTAACATATTTGTTTTTGATTTTGTTGTTGCAGTCTGTCAACCCAACCAAGGCAGATGAGTTCACTCTGAAGAAGAACATCCTATATACCTTTGCCTCATCATCATGAGGAGGCACTTCCTGTTTTGCAGGGAGGAATCTTTAACCTAGTTTGGGGGAAGTCATCTCCCAAATTCTCCTGATCTTGGGAAGAGATAGTGTTTTCAGTGTAATATTTATGCACATCTTTTACTGAACATTTTTGTGCGTTCAAGTCCTTATTTGTATTAGGGAGAAGGATAGCCGGCATACCATTAACAATAATGTAGTGTTTTTTGGATCGAAAATCTTATTTATCGTTAACTCTGTTTTGAGTAGCGATGCACGAATTGAGGACCCCAATAGTTTGTTTCATCTGTTAAACCATTTGTGGATCTCTCTTTGGGATTGAGCATGCATTTTCACCAACGGCCATTGTTGGACCCTCCATTTTGGTGGGGCGGACCATGGGCTATTCAATTTGGTGCGTCGCTACGTCCAATGGTACTAAACCTGTCTCAGGTTAAGCTTTGGACTGAAGGTTACATGATGATCCTAAGTTCCAAATTAGTACTTACAATTTGCCGCAGTACTTGTGGAGGTAGTTGAGGATTGTCTGAAAACTCTCACATGGATGAATTATGATCGCTCCACCAAAACATCAGAACCAGAAATGGTTGTGGTCGCTTTAACCCATCGCCTCAATGTGAACTGTGGGCTTTCTCGATATTCTTGCGAGGCATTATTTAGAAGTGGATGCAGACAAAGGAGGTGATGTCCCATCGAAACCTAAAAAGTATTAGTAACATCAGCTTTTCCTATGAGGCTGCTTGGCTTGTCGGAAATTCTATCTTCAGTTTGTGACTGCTTGTTTTCCGTCGCCATCTTTGTAGGGCAAAGTTTACCAGAAGAGAACCCATCGAACCAAGATATTTATTATTCATGGCATTTTCGACTTGTTAAAAAACTTGCTTTTCGAGTGATTTTCACTTTTACTTTCACTAAAGTTGGCAATCAGAAGAGAACGACTACTCTAAATTAGGGATCAATCGACATAACTCACGTATGCAACCACAATATTTTTTGGGGAAAAAAACAAACATTAACATATCCCTAGGATATGATCTGTGGAGATTAATGGTGAGATGGGACCGTTTGTGATATGAACCAGATGTTTTGAACTGCCCTAGTTGATGCAGATAGCAATGTGACAGAACAATGTGAGAAATTCTCAAACAGATCATTTCCTGCTGTAACAGTCAACACTTTGTTTATGCTATCTTAATTTATTGTTGGGATACTTTAATATCTGGATAAACAAGCCCATGAACAATAATGGAGCTAGGGGACCATGATGGGATTTTTGCTGCTGCTTTCTCCAGGCTCAAAAATTTACATGTCCCCAGCAGAATAATGCTTGTTGGGGGGCCTCAGATCTGATCTATAGTCATAGGCTCCTCCAAAAATAAAAAAATAAAAAAAATAAAAATCTACGGTTTGTAGGTCAGAAACGCCTTCCAACTCCAAAAAAAAACAAAGAACAAAAAACAAAAAAAAGAGCTTGTGATTTCTTATATAACTTGAATTATTTTCCAATTCTGCAAGCTCTTTTAAATTGAATTATATGTTGATAGAAAATGGTAGACCTAAATTCCCGCAGAAGCATCCAAAAAAAGATACAATATGATGGAAAAGAAAGATGCATGAAAAGTTCTTGAGAATGGAATGTCTCATAATCCCAAACTCACTCTTTATGTCGATGCTTAGGAGGCACCATGTCCCTTGTAAATTAAGATTTCAATTTCACTTTAGTAAGTCAGTCTAAAGATCTACCAAGCTTCATAGTTCATAGGTGTAAAACATATTTGGATAATAAAGGCCAAGTAATTATATCAGACAAGTAGATTCTTAGGGTCCCAAAACAAACAATTTGCGAAAAGCAAATGGGGTCACCTCATAATTTCTTCCAAACATCACAAACAACTATTCTCATGCAAAATCTGCATATGCTTTTGCTCCATGATCATGTTTATTAATTTTGCAATTGGGATTATGTTTCTTAATCATGCAATTAATGTTATAACTAAGAACTAAATCACCTCCCCCATATCATTATCCTAAGGATCTTCACATTGGCTGGCTCTTGGAGGTTTTAAGAGAAACCTCATGAGAATGAAGCATTAAAAACATGGAATATAATCATATATAAATTGATTGATTCCATCATACTAGCAGTGACAGCAGAGAATAATTTACAGGGTCAAGCATCTTACACAATCTAGATGGGAATAAAAGAATTTATCCCATAATTTGCATCATACCCATCAAAATACAGACAAGGCTGCAGCTTCTCTTTTTCAGAAGAAAAGAGATGGATCCAAAGAGCTAGCCTTCAATAATTACACAGATGATCACATAAATCCTTAAACCAAAAAAGTTGCAAAAAAATCTATACACTTCCTTCTGAAACCACATCATAAGACATTAATTCATCTTCTTACCTTGAAGAAACTGGGTTCAATGCTCTAGCAAACCCATTGCTCATAGCAGCTCCATATCCCTTTGAACTAAATCCCAAGCAACCAAGCAACCCTTGCCTGTAAGGCAAGTAAGTCTTTTTCCTCATTTCCTCAGCCTGAGCCCTATTAGCAGTGTAATGCAGCTCATGGAGAGACGGCGGCATCCGCCGTTTTCCGACGCCGTTGGTGGGTTTTCCGGTTACCGGCTTCTTCCCTGCACCGCTGGACCCACTTCCCTTGGATTTTTGGGCCTCTGAGCTCAAATTTAAGGGGTTGCTAAATTTGGGATCTTTTGAAACAGAGCCCTGAGTTTGAGCACTCTGTTTCGTGGGCTTCTTTTCTTTTGCAGTGGAGAATGATATTGAAGACCAAAACTTGTGGTTGCTTCTGCCTTCACTCTTACTTCTATGAAGAAAATCTTTCAGAAAAATCCATCTTTTTGAGTTCCTACCAGCTGATGATGACCTTGAAGTTGAAGCTGAAACTGAAGGTGTAGTAGTTGTGCTCTCCACTTCTTCCTCTTCTTCTTCTTCTTCTCCTTCATTTTTGCTCTCTTTCAAGCCACCCCCTTTCAGATCTTGAACAAAGGAACAACCTTTTTCATCAGTTTCAATCTCGCTTTGAGCCCACTCAAAAGGGACATTTCTTAGAGGGGACATAGATCTTGTTCTTCTACGCAGAGACTTGTCCCGGAATCTCAGATCTCTGCCTCTCACAGGCTCAAACTCGAGCTCTGCTTCATGCTCCTCGTTTTCAGACTCAAGATCCAGCAATGGAGCTAAAGCTTGAGGCTTTTCCAGGTGGGTCGAGAGCTTCATGGGTCTGATCTTCCCATTCAAGAAGAGCTCGTCAGCTGAGCTCATAGGCCCTGTTGGGCCGGAGCCACTTGAGCCAAACCTTGCAGAGAACTCAAACTCAAAACCCAGAGAAACAGAGGTGTTGTCAAACGAAGAAGAAGACCCCTGAGGCGAAGCGAAAGAGCTTGACTTTGAGGTCAAAGCAAAGTGCATTGGGCTAGCTGGAGCACTGTAGAAGAACCCACTAACGGGTCCACTGCGGCCAGGGCTTGAAGGTGCACTAACATACGGAGTGGAACAAGTGCTATCAATGTCTTCAAAGAAGATATGGGATTCATCGGTTTTGTGGGTTTCGCCATTGCTAGGGTTTGGGGGCTCAAGCTTTGGTTCAGGGTTTGAGCTTTGGCCATTGTTGGATGGAGTTTTGAGCTCCATTATTTTCTGTTCTCGTTTAAGCAGAAAGAGACTCAGAGAGTCAGAAAATATAGCATGGAGAGTGGGTATTATTACATTTTGTCCCTCGACTTCCGTTTTATTTCGTTAATGCCATGGTCGTCTTCTCATCGTCCGTACTAAAGGTCTACTTTATTTTATTATTTTTTTTAAAAAATAATTATGGTTGAATTAACTTAACCAACAAAACTAATCAACCTCATGAATTGGTTAAACACAAATAAATTATAAATGATTGTGATTAATTAGTGGTCAATGTTTTGACATGAAGACCGTTTGGACGTAGAACTCAAGTGTTGTTGAGGCCAAAGACCAAGAGGGCTGCACATCGCCCTCAAATATTTATTGTTTGCTTGTCCTCCTCTCCCACATCTACCAACACATAAAGTGTTGCTCTTTCTCTCCAGTCTTAACACAATGCATGCCTGCCATAGCCGTCCAATGTCATCGAGATCAATGCTCACTGAGACTTCTTTATTGTCCCATCGGACGGCTGCATAGCATTCAACTTCTTTTTACTATTATTATTATTGTTCTTCATCTCCTTTTGTACATGCAGTTGAATGCATCTCTATTTTCTGATAAATGAGAATAAAGAAAACATATAAAGATTTGGACCCAAGTAAATAATAATATAATCTGAAAATTCTAAATGCAAGCCATGGATGGGGGTTGAATGCACAATGTCATATATATATATATATATCTCTCTTCATAGGATCCTAACTTTTGGGCACCTGTCCCAAGGCTGAGGTTCTGCATCTGTTGCCTCCCCTCCAATTAATAATTAATCATTATAACAGCAATTTGTATAATTAAACTATAGTGTAATCAGAATAAAGATAACATACTATTTAATCTTGTAATCTGTAAACCTTGTGGATGGAGTCTCTTTTCAGATTTCTCTCTACCCAAGAAATAAGAATATTGGTTTTGAGAGAGAGAGAAAGAGATTAGTGGCCATGCTTATTTGGTATGGGACATATTTCTTTGGTGATGAGCCCACATTAGATTACATTAGAACCCAGTATCAAGAACAAGAAGTCATTGCTTGCCCACTTAAGTTTTAACCACCAAGCTGAAAAGGGTGGTGATTGGATTAGACTGGTTGAGATGTTACAAGAACCAATCTAAAATAGACAAGCAATTCAGCATCAGCATGTGCATTTTGCCACACCAGCACATGATGTGTTTTTTTGTTTTTTGGGCACAAATGTGAATATTTATTAGGTCACTGTTCATAAATCTGTTTTCTTCTTCCCCCATCCACAAAGCTTCTTAGTCAATGAACATTAATTGAAACCCCATGAATTCATCATCCATGAAAGAACCCTATGCTTCATATAATACGGGGTTATAGTTTATATACAAATGCAATCTTTTGGCTTCTATGAATTTTCTTGTCCAAAATCCCACAGTAATGGCTTTTGTTTTTTTGTAGGCTCTGTAGTGTTATGTTAGTTAGGCGGTCCTTCAATGAAGCAAAGCTCTTTTGTTCTGATCCAAACTTGTACAGAAGCAAAAGTCGCACAAAAGGCCCACTTGGCGACACATGATTACCAAAATGGCAGCTTCCATCGAGAGTCTGTATAAGGAAAACTGTGATGTTTGTATTTTTGTGATACTTTTATGAATCACTCTCATTTGGTAAGAATTCTAAACTCAGTAAGAACTTTTCTACATGGATCTCGACTGTAAATACTGAGCTGCTAAGAAGCAAGCAGGAAAATGCAACATTTTTAATATGGTCATGGTTGCCATCTCTCATTTGGTACTTGGTTTGTTAATATTACGACATAATCTCTCCTTTTTTATGCAAGCGATATTGGGGTTGAGGGTATTCAATCACAAGACCTCGGATGCAAAAGTAATGCTCTTAACCACTTGAAATACAAAGCTCTTATACATTTTCTCTACTTTTCATATGAATATAAACAATAAACTGCAAAAATAATCTTAATAATTCATTTATATTCAACTTCCAAATGAAGGAAATAGAATGTCAAAGAGGGATAGAATATAAATTTTGTTTAATATGTGGGGTTACATACACTTTAAAGTTAAAGTTTAGCTTAGTTTAATATTATATATATAGCTTAAACCTCCTATGGTATGAATGAAGAGGTGCTCAGCTCTTGAAAGTGATGAAGTTAGAGAGATAAAGTCTTCAAGATGATGAAGTAAATTTTTTTTTGTTGGAACAATGCCCTCACCTTGTCCCCCTCAAGGGAGGGAAGAAATGCCCGTGAAGAGCAACAGTTCGTTTTCAATGGTTGAAACTTGAAACTCCTTTTACTGGTTTACTTACATAGCTCTGCTTTTCTGTGTGCGGTTAAATAAGAAAGGGAAGAATTTTATTCATTTTGCCCAAGTTGTTCCCTACTGCTCTAGGTCTTGGACTGCTTTTTTACATCACAATAATTTAAGCCCTCATTTGGTCTACAAGTCAAATTGTTTTAGGAGGCTAGGCTCTTAGGTATGGTTGAATATATCAGTTGGGGAATTTATGGTAACTATAATTTGAACTTTTAGCAGCACTGGGCCGGCTAGATGTCAGACTGGTTCCATTAATCACGTGGTTCATCAATTGGACAAAGGCACTAACAAGGAGAAAAGCTTAGTTGGGTCAATAATTCTATGCCACGTGATGTGTTATCACACGTGTCAATATTGCTATGTCACGTGATGTGTTATCACCACGTGTTATAGCATCATTGGCTAGAGATAGCAAAATGATGTTATTCCCATTTCATGGAAGTCTTTCTTCCTGACAAGGCCTTAATCAAATTTCGCACAAGGCCAAAAATCTTGTTTCTTTAGAGACTTGATTGGTATCTGAGCGGTTGAGCTTAAAGTCTTTCGTGCAATAACTTTACACAGCTTTCTTCCTGGAAAACACATTGAGCTTTTATTGCAGTTAAATCGTACATATTGCAGTTTGCAGTGGCCTGAATTACTGTAGTAACACACTACCAAACCAGGAGAAGTAAAAAATTGTCTTACTGGCAGTAGATTCTATGTTGAGAAAATTCTCAGCTAGATGAAAATGTTGAAGGTAAATTAGATAAGGAAAAGCATACAAGTTCCACCAGATAAAAGGCTCAACTGGATATAATATATTGCAGTGGATTATAAATACAAGGGCCAACTTAAGAGGGACTAAAAGTGCTAAAAATCAGACACCAACTGATCAACCAAAGAATTTAGTATCTCCTTCTCAATCTCTAGACCCTCCTCAAATGTTTCAATGTCGAAGTCAAGCCATCTCCCACGCTGGGTGCTCATGTCCTTGTCCACAAGCTCATCCACATTCAATTCTGCCATATTTTTCCAACCCAGAATATCTTTGTACAATTCCTCAGCTAACCATCCATTCCTCTGAGACAATGCTGCCCATTTATCCCATGCTTTGTGGCTTCCGACAAAAAATTGCTTGCATCTGAGCTGCAGGCTTTCATTTACACAGTCAAATACAATCTTCCGCTGGAGCTTTGGATACTCTTCTTGATCCTCCAAATGATCAAAAAGACTTGGGGTAATGACAGTCTGAGCATCACCCAGCGCAAAATCTTCCATCTCTAAATCTACATTGCTAAGGATGTATCTCACATGTTCCAGTTCCCAATTGTTTGTACAATTAAGATAATGGGAACCTGAAATTCTAGTCATATTCTTTCCACTCACATCCCCTGTGGAAGCAGAAGAGGCTGAGTCAAACAACTCTGAAACACTATATGCTGGTAGGGTTTCATATGAAGAGAATAAATCCATTTGGTCTTGAGCTTGAGCCAATGAACATCTCTCACTGTCACTGCCTGTAAATGGAGAGTATACATGTTCAGTCATTTTTCACAAGAGCACGTATGTGTTTCATTACAACAAAATGCCTGACTCATAAAAGAAGTTTCTTTTTTCTCTTTTCAGTACCAAGGATGTCAAAGGAGGAGGGGGTGGTTTGACTCATACAAGAGGTTGCACTATGCTTTTCTTATCTGATAACATTATAGGCCGTTCGCTAATTTACAAAATCTCAACTAGCATAGACATCCCCAATCTGTGTAAATTTTATGTTCTTGCAAAATATTTTGGGACTGACATTGTTATGAACGTATGTACTGGAAAAGGAATAAACAGGAAAGTAGACTGTTATTGTACCATTGGCACTATTTCTGTTACCCGTGCAGCTTCGACTCTCAAACGAGGGGGCTGAAAGTGGACTAAGATTCTGATAATCAAATTCTTTTCCATTTGCACTGGTTATGCTGCTACTGCTACACTCTTCCATCCCTTCTGATCCCTGAAATTGTTTAAGAGAATTTGACAAGCATGCTGATTAAATAGCTTCATGATGTAACTCAGAATCATAAAAACATGTTTCTTTTCCTGAAAGGCATATTCAAAATTGATAATAATAATGGAACCAAAGTGAAATATTGCATCGAAAATTTCAAATATTAATAAAAAGTGAATCTTGTCAAAAAAATGGATCAAATACAGACTACTGCTGATTGCTTAACTTCTCTACATTGTCTCTAAAATCCTCACTCTGCTGTATTGGCATTTGAATTTTTACAGAACCTTGACTTGTTAAGCACAGTTTTAAGAACGGACATATGGTCTTAGTTGTCTATAAAGTCTGGTTTCTACAACTTTACCCAGTCAGAAAGGTTCATATCTAGCTTAACTAATTACATTACCTGTAGGGCCTATCCACAACACAAATATTCATTCATCTGCTGATGAATTTGTTAGCAGAAACAGTTTTAGTATGGATGTGCATTTGGTCCTTGTTTCATTTTGTTAGTACAACTAGTCAATGTATTATATTTTGTGTCTGGTTGAGGAAAACCGTCAAACACCTTAAGTGCCTATACACTCGATCATGAAAAACCAAGGGTGACAAACCACGAGTCAAGAAAATTAAGGGTAAAACAAACCTTCCAGTCAAGTTCATCTCTGCGCAAACCGAGTTCGAACTTCTTGCCTCTTGATGCGGTACTAGCCACACCAGAAGCCATATCTTGCAAGCCAGATGAAGAACTAGCAGCTGCAGAAGTCTCTTCATTGGATGGGTTACGCTGAGACAACTCAACTTTACATGACAACTCTTGAAGCTTTTGTTCCAAAAGGACACTCAGAGCATCACCACCAATCACGCTGAACCCAGGTGAAGATAATGTGAAATTCTCTGGGTAGCGCTGCTGATCATTGTTACCAAAAGAATCAATATAAAAGCTGTTGTTTCTACTCATGACTTGACCAGAGGACTGCAATTCAGAGATGGATCTTTTCAGGGGAGACGTGAATGTAAACGAAACAACATCCATGGCTTGTTTCCTATTATCTGCGCCCAAACTGGTGCACCCATCCATTGAAACATTACATTTTACTGACCTTTCATCTTCACTGATAAATGCATTATCAGAAACGGCTTCTTCTAAGTGAACATCCTGGCCAACAGACCTTAACTTTCCAGAGACGTTCTTCATTGTGGATAAAGAAAATTCCTTTCCAGTAGCATTTCCCATTGAGCCCATCTTTCCAGATCCAGTTTCAGAGTTTACAAGAACCTTACTTACAGTCTTACCTGGCCTACTAGAGCCATTAGTTGACCGCATTCTTCTAGTAGGTGGATTAGGAAACATATTTTTTGAAGTCGTTTTATCTTTATTAGATACACAATTCTGCTTCTGGTTGTTCTGCTTGAGCACACTTTTGGTGCTGTCAGGGGAAGTTTTCTTATGCACAGCTCTTTGTGGACTTGGCCTGCTCTTGGAAAACTGATTTTTTTTCATCTCATTCTGTTCCTTCTGATTCATGAAACTCCTATTACTACAAGAACTCGACCCATCCTTTCTTTGAACAGTGACCTTTGCTTGTACCGCAAGTGATACTGATTTTCCCTTATTCCTTCCATCCCTGTAACTTTGTCTTTCTGAGTTCACAGAAGCCTTGGGTAAGTTTACATTATCTGACCCATTTTGAATCCTGTCACCAGGCAGTCCTTTCATATACTTAACGTCACCAGCTTCCTTCGGTCTTTCAGGTCTGGATGCTTTTTGCACAGCTTCCATCTTCTCTTTCAAATCCCTAATTCTCAAGGGAATTGAAGAAGGCCCTACAGATGACCCTTTGCTCTTGGAAGATGCTCGAGGACTTGCCTCAATGATCTTTGAGGCTGCCTCCATTATATAAGCCGCATTTTTTGTTGGGAAGAAGCCAGGACTCTTGATAGGTGACAAAAGCTTGTGATGCGTAACTGGAATTGACTTAGCTGATTTTGGAGGCAAAACTTCAGTTTGAAATCTCTCAATTGGCTGGTTCTGCACTCCCTGTGCTCTAGATTCTACAGGATTCCAAGAAAATCTATCCAGCTTCTTTGGCACATTTATGTACTCCATGGCATAAAAATCGCTCCACAAATTACCATTGCTCCTGTCATGATCAGGTGCTCTGAGCGACTGGGAGTCAAAGAGTAGGCTAGAAGATGGCTCAGGGACAGTTGAAGATGGCTCAGGGACAGTTGAAGTTGGCAATGAATCCAGACCCATTAATCTAGCAACTACACCAGGGGCTCTACTCCCACATCCCTCATCACTAGTCACTGATGAAGCATAGTGCCAATCACTACTTGCTTTATTACTTGAAGTTGTTCCACTCTCATCGCCCTCTACCTGCAAATATATAAAACCAGATTCTTGATACTTATATCACATGACAAACAAACAAGAGAAAGATCAAAATTAGAGGGTAGAGGATTCATACCCTATAGAGCCCTGACTTCGAGAAACTCTCCACATTTTCTTTTCCTTGCTTTAATCCTTTACATTCAAAATGGTGTGAAAGTAAACTAAATGCTCAACTAAGAAGCACATACAGATAAATATGCAAGATATATACCCAAAAAAAAAAAAGAGAGAGAAGATGATATATACCAGATGACTCGGAATTGCTCGAGAAAAGCTTCTTCCGAGATTTGCCATTCCAATCAAACAAGTTTAGAAATCCTCCTTTTGAACGTTTTTTCTCAACCTCCATTTTAGTCTTCTGCAAACCTATAGGAGTTGGAGATTACGACTAAAAAGATCATTAAACAGAAAACATGTGCCAATTTGTACTAGAATTTGTCATGCTTGAACCATCCATAAATGCGCAAAGGAATTCAAATATTAGCAATCAGACTAGACATTACCTACATTGTCCATTGACAACTTTAAAAAAAAAGAGCTAAAGATTTAGCCAGAGGAGAGAGCATTCTCCAGTTTTTCAGAAAGAAGTAGACAAGCAGGACAAATTAAAATTTCCTTAGAATGTACCACATTTTTCAAGGCAACAAGAAATCAGATCGGATTATCCCACTAATTCTACATATGAAAAAACAGCAACCACAGTTGTGCGTGCAAGTGTGTCTAATCCAAATGGCACCCTTTATAATGAACAGCAAGCACAAATCTCTAATCATTTCAATCAAAATCTCACCTTAAATCCTTCAACTGCAAAACCCCATTTTCCACACTCCGAAAAGCTCACTCCTTTTCTTCTTTTGCTTTTGTAGACAGCAATTCACTCAAAACCCATGCTTCCAAACTCAGTAACCAAGAATCAAATAACTTCATCCAAATGAGTAACCTTCAATCAATCTAACCACATTCTCCTTACCCAAGCACCCACATTTCGAAAAGCCAACTCTTTCTTTCTATTTAGGTTTATTATGCTGAATAACAAACACAATCGGGAGTGGAGGAAAAGATTAAAGATCTGAAAGTGTAGAGCAACAAAATCCTTTGGGTAAAACTACAGCTAAAAAAGAAAAAAGCTTTAAGCGAAATCAGAAGGAAACTGCACACACTGAGTGAGAGAGAGAGAGTCAAGGGGTGTATGGTAAAGACTAAAGACTGAAGAATGCAAGAGAGAGAGCGAGAGTTGAAAGAAGAAGAAGAAACGTTAATTGTGAGCAAAAAATCGCAAGACGGAAGAAACACACCGCTCTGAGAGCTGAGTGGCTGATGAGTTCTTGTGAAAATTCCACTCTTTCCATTTATATTTATTTAATGGACCACCACGAGTCGTGCTTCCCTTTTTTTTTTTTTTTTGTAAATGATGTACCCCTGCCACTTGGCTTTAAAACTGTGGGCCCCGCTCGAAATTAGTCATCAGTTTCGGTCCTTTTCGGGAATTGCCGATAGTTCAAAATCAAATGGACTTTTTTTCCTCCCCATTTTTATTTTCAAATTTTCATAGAAATGTGTTTGTGTTGTTGTTACATTTTTAAAAAAAAAATTAATGTCTCATGTTTTTTACCACTTCAATTTAAATTCAGAAAAAAAAGCTCATTTGTCTTCAAAAAGAAAAATAAAATAAAATTCACAGTCTAAGCACTCAAGAAGAAGTATATAATTGATCTACAATTTTCACACTAAAGAGTAGCTAATAGCTAGAGACCAATGGATCAATCAAGTGGTCCACAGTCCACTTAGCAAAAAATAACAAAGATGGGTTTTGTTTGTAGCTCTCTCTATCTCCTTCTTCATTTTTGGATGGTGGTCCGACATTTCACAACTAAGCAATGTCGCCAACTTCATAGCTTGTTTCGCATCTTGTTAAGATTCCATGCAAAAGCTCCACTTTCCTTTTCCCCTCTTGTAAATAAAATTCTTCAGTCCTTTTCAGATTTTGTTGTGTCACTGTCAATATGCACACATATATATGGAGATTCTTTAGAAATATTTAAGTTAAAAATTTGTTACATACTTCTAATTTCGGCAGTTTGATTGTATCTGAGAGACTATGAACACATTTAATAAAGTCAATCCAACGACCAAAATTAAAAGTATGTAACCGATCCTTAACATAAAATACTTATTAGAGAATCTCCATAAACGTATATATTATTGAGATCACTATTTGTTTGCTAGGAGGATCAAAAAACAAGTGATTAAGAGAGCTTGGACTTTAGAGCTAAGCCCCACATGAATCACAGACAGAAACAGTCCCACAAGAAATACATTATTTATGGTGGTTAACATGTCATGCTCAAGTATAATCTAGATGGTTTACTAATGCAGAACGTAAGTATTATGTTAATCATATGATTGCATGTGCCATTTGTCAAATAATTCTTTATGGTTTTGTAGATCTTAGTTGTTAGATCTTAGATTTAATCAAAATCATAATGCATTTTCTATTTGACCACAAAACCAGTCGATGTGACAGGGCAACTGGTTGGCTGTGTAATAATTGAACTTTCCCAAGGTCAATATGTAGAGGCTCAACTGATACATATATACATTGCAAAAACTAACTCATTTACCTTCCTCACATCAAAATTGGGCAAGCAATTCAAGCCTGTAAACCAAGAACTAAATAAACTCCGCACTTGCACCAGAATCAGGACAAATAAACATGCACATCCTCAGGGTCAGGAGGAAGTCTTGAGGTAGCTATCTTTTCTTCTTTCCTTGCTCAGAAGCTTTGAGACAGTTATCGCAAGCATTCGATCCGTACTTGCAGGCATTTTCATCAAAGGACTCTCCAAAGTGTTTGAGTAACATTTGCCTCCTACACTGAGTCTGAAGAATAACAAGGCAAAGAAACCAACGATATTTCTCATCAGTACACATGGTTCTATAAAAAGGCTAGATTTGCTTCTTTCATCAATGTGAGAATAACCAGTTGATGATGGTTTGGAGTTGCTAACCTTTAGTTCACAGTACTCTTGCATTTTCTGTGCTTGAGCCATAGCTGTCTTGAAACTTTGACTTTTACATCCTTGACCATTTCGTAACAAACATACAACCCGACTGAAATCCTTCTTCTGGTATAGGACGATGCATACTGCAGGAAGATCATCTCTGCCAGCCCTTCCAGATTCTTGATAATAGCTTTCTATTGATTTGGATATAGTATTGTGGATGACAAAACGCTAGACATTGGAAAAAAGGAATAAGAGGGTCATTTAAGATAAAATATTTAAAAAATCAAAAGTAGACTATTAATCACTGAGATAACATTTTCTTTCAAGAAGTGCAGGATTGCAAATGACAACAGCAGTACTTTTAAAATTTACATAAAAGAGACAGAAAGAAAATGAAAAGTTTATTTGGACTTACAACATCCGGCTTGTCTATTCCCATCCCAAAAGCAATTGTAGCACATACAATTTGAACCTCTCCAGTGTACCATTTCTTTTGGACAGCAACTCTTTGGCGAGCTGCTATCCCAGCATGGTAATATGCTGTCTTAATCTTAAATTTCTCGTTCAAAAAATTAGAAACCTCAACACATTCACTTTTTGAAAGGCAGTATATAATCCCGCTCTGGTCTTGGAAACAACTCATCAATAGCTGCCCGAGCTGCTTCAGTGATTCCTTAGTCTTGCCGATGACTTCATATTTCAAGTTGGGTCTGTCAAAGCTTCTTTCAAGGACAAGAGCACGAGGGATTCTCAAAGCTTTTAATATGTCCTGCAACACATCCATAGAAACATTTTTACTTCCATCCATAGAAACATTTTTACTTCCTACAAAAGGCAGAAAAAATCCATTCTGGTATATCATCCTACCTCACGAACTGAATGGGTTGCTGTGGCAGTCAATGCCATCACTGGAACATCGCGGAATATCTGCTTAAGACATCCTAATCCCCTGTAATCTGGACGGAAATCATGTCCCCATTGGCTGGGAAGCAGGATTCAAGATTAAAAGAAATGATGACTAGAATAATCTTATTAGATAGCTTAGTAAGAGTAGCACAACTTGTTACACATTGTTATGACCAATGTAACAAAATATTCATATCATGAAGTAACCTAAACACCAGATGCTATGTAACATGATCAAACCACTTTTCCTCCTTTGAGAAATAAATTTTCAGTTTCTGCAGATAATTGTCACCTAACAAAGAACACACCTTACACAGTGCGCTTCATCCACAACAAATCCTGCTAGCTGTCCCTGTGATTTAGTCCAAAACATTAATTACGTTTGGAACATAAAATCTTGTAACAGCTGATGCAAGTAAAGATGGTACCAATGAACTGGTCAGAAACCTTAAGAACCTCACCTTCGAATGCAGGCATTTCAGAACCTCAAGAAAAGAAGGGTTTCCAGCAATTCTCTCAGGAGTCACATACAGAAGCTTGCATGATGGTTTATCTTTCCTGGAAACAAGAGAATAAAACATAACCATCAAAGACAAATCATCAGGTAATCAAGGACTTTAAAATATATATCTATAACTTATTAATCTTATGATGCATAAAAAATATTTTCTTAAACAAAGCAGCATCAAAAGCATATACTTTTATAAATAAAAAACAGTTACACATGCAAATCAAGGAATTTTCAGACATAAAAAGGTAATGAGAAAATTTCCGCTAGAAAAAAAAGGCAAATTGCCTTAGTCCAAAAGAAAAGAAAAGAAAAGAAAGAACCTTGCCTTAGCTCTTGAAGGACCGCTGCTGCTTGTGAAGTGGTTTGTTGAGAATTCAAAAAAGTTGCTGGGACACCAAACTTCAGGTTCAGCGTTATAATCTGATCCTGAATAAGGGAAAGCAGTGGAGATACAACAACTGTCACACCCTGTTTCAGGGTTGCTGGAAGCTGTGCAAAACACAGAATAATATACATCCCGTCAGTGACTTGGAAGAAATCACTCCAGTATTTAAATACTCAAACAACTATTGGTCTGTTTTGAGCTAGTTATCAAAATCCAAAATTTGAAAATTTCTACAAAAAGAATGTATAATTACTTCATGGATCATAACAATTTTTAATATTACAAATAGATCAACAAAGCAAAACAATGCAGCTGTAGCCATATTATATACGAGAAACTACCTGGTAACATAAGCTTTTACCCCCTCCAGTAGGCATTAGGATAAAGCAATCTCGCTTTTCCATAGCTGCTTTACAAGCCTGATGCTGCAAGGGTCGAAATATCTTATTACCAAATATTACAACATTGGCCAGCTCAGCATCATCCAGAGCCTGTAACTCTTCATAAGTAAGAGTCCTTGATTCATATTTTGATGTACGGGCGCACTGCTTTTTATTAGAAATTGATGGAACTGAATCTCGAGTAATGCTGCTTTCACAATCCTTCAACACAAACAAACAACTTCAGTATTTTGAAAATTGTAGTTACCAAAGAAAACTGCCATGAAATTCAAAGAAAGTTGCAGCCGGTTGCACAACTGGTTATGAATTCCTCAAAGCAGTAAAGGCAAAGCTGTGAAAAAAACTAGTTCTGCTTACCACTGATCTTGAAGAACGTTTACCCGAATTCTGGGGTGGGACAGAACTGCTCCAAACAGGAAATGAAGAGGGCTTTGATCCAGCGTCTTTTCTCATTGGAGTTGTTAATTCTACTTCTTCACTATCACTAGAATCCAACAGCAAGAAATTTGGGTACTTTTGACGTTCTGGTGAATTTTTTACCACGTTGATTTTGCCTCTATCATCATCTGGTTCGTTACCGTTGAGGATGTCTTTGTCAAACATGTTATTCAAAACTCCACAAGCTTCAGTTTCCATTGCTTGTATATCATCCCATTCTTCAGTGTCCTGCATAGATTCAGCTAATGCTGCAAGAAAATCATCACCGCAGTGCTCCACGGTAATAAAATCTAGGCCATCGTCACCTGAACAGAAGATCAAAGAAGATGATGACCCTATCATTACTTTGGTGCTAAAACTAATCATAGTTAACTTATGCCTGCACAAATTCGTGACCAACAGTAGAAATACTAGGAGACTAAGCAAAATGTTTGTTGAAACTTTACCACAAAGTCACTTCACACATATTGACCTCAAGTCTAACTACATTTCTATCAAATCACACACAACTCAACTTCTCAAACATATTGGAATTAAAAATAGCACAAAACCCAACAAACCCATTTCATTTCAGCTAAAATTAGAAAAAAACAAAACCCACCAAATTATGAACCCAAATTGCATATTATCTTTTTGTTTATCTGATGAATTTGACAAAATATTAGTGCGAGTGAAAAT